GCCCGTCAATGCGGCTTCATATTTACCGCCACCAGCGTTAAGTCGGGCCTGTTTCCCTACAGGAGGATTTTCGATGAAAATTAAAAATACACCAACAATGATCCAAAAACAGTCCAAAAATAGTACAGGGACCATTTTTTTGTATATGTGTTCGCCTTTTTGGGGTATTTTTGTTTGGTGTTTTTCATTTTTTCGTCAAATATCCCCCTGTAGGGGGACAGGCCCGACTTAACACCAGCGCCAACTACGATTGCACTTCCTGAATTTCCAGCTGTGGATTCTGCAGGCGAACTGGTTCCTCCTACGTGGGCAGCAGTCATCATGGTCAGGTGACAGATGATTTGTTGGGGGCGCACAAGACTCCCGACTCGGCTAACATCTACACAGCCTGTCAATCAAAAGCAGCCTACCTCAACACCTCGAGATCATTCATCATCAAAAACAGCGTATTGAGGATAAACGACATCGATCCGTTACCTGATCATCTTAAACAGCGGGTCCGTGGACGCACCAGCAGCCGTCGCAAATAATGGTCTGGGACATGCGCGGCAGAACCTGACGGCGCCAAAGCAGCACGCACTCATTGAGGAGCTGCCGCTACAGAAATCGACCGCAAATCCCCTAAACCTATGACTCCTTCTCGTTTGCACGACACATAGAAAGATATGGGAGCCGACTGCGACAACAAATCCGTTGAATCTAGATGAAGTGTTACATATCCAGCCTTTTGCATGCCTGGTCGATGTCAAAGAACATGACTGTCCGGACGGTGATGAACAGGCTTTGAGACCGTAGGCCTTTTTAGCTATGTTGTTTCCTCTGTCGTTGAATGTTGGCATCCCTGTTCGGATCTTCTGGCAGAAAGGTAGTTTTTTTTTACATGGCCCCGATTATTGTTATCATTGGCATTGACATTCCAAACCTCGCCAAAGCTCTCACCAGAGCGCCATGCTTGATTCGATCGCACGCTTTAGCCCAATCCAAAAATACAGGTACCCTTGGTCACTCTGTGCTGCGTCGAACATTTGGCGTGCGATCGAAATTGCATCGATCGTGCCCCGCCCCGGTCGGAATTCAATTTGCGTGGAAGGAATTATGCCTTCGGTCCTTCCTTGTTGAAGTCGTTTTTGGATCATCCACGCCAGCAATTTGTAGCCCACTGGTAAAATAAACAGGGACAGTAATTCTTTGGGAGGCTCGCGTCTCCTTTTTAGTAAAACAGGACACATGTGACGACACGCCAGGAATCTGGAAGAAGCAAATGTGGCGACCCGCCAGGAATCTGGAATGTCTTTGTTTTCCAGCTCCGGTGACATACATTCAAAAAGTTCGCACAAAGTGTGCTCGACATGCACGGCAATCTCCAGAAATTCGGCGCTACATCATCATGTCTTGCAGTTTTCCCATTGCTAAACACTTCAAAGCCTGCGTCAACTCGTTCATCAAAAAACCAGTTGTGTTTTTCGGGCGGGGTTTTCCCATAGGAAAGTTACCCGCCTAAATGTCTGCTCGTTGACCTCCCAGTGATTTTTGCTCGAAGTAATCTGCCAAAGCATATGTTCGTTGATCGCTTTCCGCTTGCCAATGTATCGGGCGTGCGACCGCTCGAAAATCGATGGTGGATTATTCATGGTTGGACCAGAACAAAGATGCTTGAGGAGAAGTTGCAAAGTGCTCAGCATACACGGCATCCTCATCACGTGGAGAAGGCGGAGGAATTGGTGGGTGCATGGGCAGAGTCCCCGGGCGGACCCACCAGCGCACGTACAATTGAAACGTCTCGGCGCTCACCTTACCGATGGCCAGCTCGCTGTGCGTGGTGGTAAGTTGCGCGATTCGAGTACGGCACGCGCGAACCTATCTCTAATGTATGTTCCGTTCCAGTTCCAATGCGCACCTGCGAAATTGTAGCCCGCCGGAGCAACAGCAATGGGCGTTTCGACACGCGGCGCGACCTGCTTGTCCTCCGGCATAGGGGGCCTGCATCTGCGAAGGTCCGCTGTGTGCCAGGACCTCCAGCGCTTACAGGCAGCGCGCCTGGCCAGTCGCGGCTTCGCCTGCTGCAACCGAGTCAGGAAGGCGCGTGAAGCACGATCTCGTACACTCAACCCGCACAGGAAGGATGAGCGACTTTCCAAGGTTACCCTTGCATCCCTCCCCTTCGGCCCACGCAGGGACCCCAAAAAATATTAACCTGGATTCATGATGTTCGGGGTATATTGGCTGGGGTTCATAATGTTCCCCCTGGAACAATTTAGACTTGGGTTCGTATTTTCCCTGGGATCTTAATTGGGGTTCGTCCTGTTTTTCCCTGGAACATTATAGTCACCGGTGTATTATGCTCTGGGTGGCGATCTTCGGAACCCCAGAATGATGAATTTGGGTTGATTACTCACCAATGATAATTGTGTTTATGTTCCTTCCAACCCTTGGGCTCCTGAATTGGGGCCGTTATCTTCGAGTATTGACCCCGTTTCATCATCTTCGGGACGTACTGACGAGCCCAGGTTCGTTATTCTGGAACGATAGTAGTGGAGCCTTCGGAGGCGTCGCTGGAGCCAAAGCAGGGAATGATGAATCCGGACTCATGATTCTGGAATGGTAGAGATTATTCCCCCCAAATCCCGGGCCCCATATTGAAATTCATTATGGTCGAATATTGACCCCAGCCCGTTTTCTGGAGAATATTGGAAATTGGGGTTCATCTTGTTCTGGTATTTTTTTGGAATGGAGCGGTGGGGGGGGGCGCCTGAGAAGAGGGTCTGGACTGAGAACAAACCTGGTTGACTATGTCGAAATATTGTCCCTGGGCTCATGATTCCGGAATGATAGCAATGCGGCGGTTGGGGAGCGAACCCGATCCATCAACAGGGCAAGAATCCACAGGGAGTTCTCATCAACAGATAACGAATCTAGGCGTATGATCCCATGATAATGAACCACGGTCGACGAGGATTTCGGACTCACCTTCCATCCTTGGCCGCTTTCGCCGGCCACGCCCCGCTAGCAGAGTGTCGACATGGCTTTCCGAGGCCATTGCATCCTTACCGCGCATCCGTACGATACGGGTTGAGTGTACGCGAGCAGCTGCATCGACATGCTCCGGAGCTCCAGCGGGGTCACGAAAAACATGAACAGTATCAGGAGCGCCACGAGCCGGAGCGGCGGCCACGGCCTCAGCAGCGCTTGAGACCGGCGGCCGCAGACGCCAAGGGCCTGTGCATTTCCGCAGACCTCGGCTGCATCGGGCCAGACGCAGCCGCAGGCGACGTAGCTGTATCACCAGGAGCTAAAGAAGGACGTACACGTACAAGAATCCACGTTGGTTTCGAGAGTGCGCATTGCGCGAATGTTCGTCTCACGCGGCCCGTCTCTCGCGGGTTGAGGGGCCGTGTTCATGCACGCGGTTGGGCGCGTCCGTCTTCTGTGGGTTCTTTGTGCCAGGCGTGCCGATAGCGGCCTCGTGGGGCGCAGTACCAGCAGGAGGCCGCGTAGCAGGGCGCGCAGCGCCAAAAGCCAGAGTTCCAGCGTGGACACGACGAGTCCGAACAGCACCAGGAGCGCCACGATGTGGCGCCGCGGCCACGGCAGCAGCAGCGCCGAAAGCGGCGGGCGGCCCGTGCTGGCGAACGTCATGTGCCAGTGGCGGCAGCAGAACACGTGGCGGGGGCAGTATGGACGAAGGCATCGGCGAAGAAGGCGGATGAGCGCACGGCTCTGGCCATGCTCGACGCCAGGATGGCCGTTAATCCAGCACCCGGCAGTCCGCCTCCAGCCTGGGCGATTCCCAGGCTGCAGCACCAGCAGGAAGATGTGCATGTTGACCGCCAGGAGCGATGGACGCCGCGAGGGTCTTGCCGTGGAGTCTCCATGGCTTGGAGGCCTGCGCATCCACATGCGCCACGAGCTCGTGCAGCAGGATGTCCGCAGCGGACACGTCGAGTGCTGTCGCTTGCGCGGCTTCCCGACGATCATCTGGTCGATAGTCTTCACGGCCTCCAGCTGCTTATGTTGCACTGGAGCCAGGCACGGCGGCTCCACGAGCATGATTGGGTCCAGAGAACGAGCTGAGTCACAGCGGGCGAGGGCGGCCACGTCGCTCATACGAGGCCGGTGGCCGACTCGGGCCGCATAGCCGAGCTTTCGTGCGGCAGCGCGAAGCGTCGGTCTCGGTCGGCTGCAACACGGGCCAGAGTCAAGAGAGGAGAAACCACCCGGACCAGACAATTAGCGTTCACTAAACGGCCATGGGCGTGTTTTTTTTAACAGCCTTGCCCTGTTTGATTCCTTCTTTGGGCGCGTTTACTAAATGGTTTCGCGTTTCGGGGGTGGTTATTATCGAGGTGGATCTTCTGCCCTCTACAGAGGGGTCTCGTAGCGGGCGGCTGGCCCGCGGCTCGCCGGGCAGCATCGCCAGGGGCGGCTAGGGACGAGGGGAAGAAGGGAGTAGGAGGATGAGGAGGAGGAGGAGGAAGAAGAGAAGGAGGAGGAGGAGGAGGCGAGGAGAAGGAGGAGGAGGAGGAGGTGGCGGAAGAAGAGGAGGAGGAGAGGAGGAGGAGGAGGAGGAGGAGGAGGAGGAGGAGGAGCAGGAGAAGAAGGAGGAGGATGAGCAGCCTGAAGCTGCGGCTCCCCTGCTGCGAGGAAAGGGACAAACAGGAGGAGGAGGAGGAGAGGAGGAGGAGGAGGAGGAGGAGGAGGGGAGGGGGAGGGGGGAGGGGGGGAGAGGAGAGGGAGGACAGGAGGAGGGAGGAGGAGGAGGAGGAGGAGGAGAGGAGGAGGAGGAGGAGGAGGAGGAGAGAGAGGAGGGAGGAGGAGGAGGGAGGGGGGAGGAGGAGAGGAGGAGGAGGAGGAGGAGGAGGGGGGCCGAGGGTGGGGGAGGGGGGGGGGAATATAGAGAAGAAGCTGCGAGGGGTGTGCATCGCGCTGCAGAGAAAGAGAGGCGTCAGGAGGAGGGGTAGGAAGAGGTCCAGGAGGAGGAGGAGGGGGCTTCGACGACGAAGGCAGCGCTTCGACGACACCCTGGTGACGCTGGAGCAGCTCGCTGGGCGCATCGCGGGCAGGGTGACGCGGCTGGAGGCGGACGCCGCCGCAGTGGTGGGCAGGGTGACGCGGCTGGAGGCGGACGCCGTGGCCGGGGAGGCCGAGCTCCGCGCACGCCCGTCTCTGCTCTGGGGGGCTCAATACTCTTTAGGTCACTCCCTGGGTGCGTGCAGGTTTGCGCGCATCGAGGGGCGCGATGCCCGACGTTAAGGTGACCCAGGTCCTGTTCGGTGTCCGCCATCGGGAGCGCCAGTGCCAGGACCGCTCGAAAGCTTCTGCCCCGACGTGGCGCCGTGAGTGTGTATATTTCCCGGGCGTCCCCGATCGTGGAGCAGTTCTCCTGTAATCCGCTATTCGTCTTTGAATGTCCGTTGCTCCTCCTATTCGGATGCGCTTTCGCCGCCTCGACGCGGCGGCGACGCCAGCGTAGGCGTTCAAGGCTTGAACACCCTCCCGAGGGCTTGTTCTCGGGCCCTGGGGCCCGCATGAAGCAACCCTCGGTGCGGAGCAAGTGCGGAGCATGGGGTTGAGATCCTCTGGGTATCTCACCACCCACCAAACCACCCCAACCCAACCCGAAGGCCTCAATTTGCCCCCATTTCCAGTGGGGGGGGATCGGGGAACATCGAGAAAACACATGTGGAACCCGTACCCCCCCCAACCCGAAATTCGGGTCTTCGGGTTGGGTTGGGGTGGTCTGGTAGGTAGTCAGTATCGCCAGAGTGGGTGTCGTTCAGGGCTGGGGGGTCCACAGGGCGTGAGGAGGGGGGGTGGGATGCGGGAGCAGGAGGAGCAGGAGGAGCAGGAGGAGCAGCAGTAGCAGGCTATCACGAGAGTTGAGGGCCCGGAGAGTAGGGGCGTAGCATGGGGGGGAGGGTGGCGACTAGGAGGAGCAAGGGGAAGATGGGGTGTAGAAGGGGTGAGCGGGACCGAGAGTATGATCAGGATGAGGAGCTGGAGAATCTCGGGTGGGATATGGATTATCAGGACTCAAAAGGTCTACTCTTTACAATCGAGAGACCCCCTTTCGGGACTTCGTTTCGGGCACGTTTTTCGGGGCCGCCCGCCCGAAACGCTCAGGATTTCGGGAATGCGTTTCGGAAACCTGTTTCTGAAACGGAAACCTGTTTCTGAAACGGAACGCGTTTCTGAAACGCTCAGCTTTTCAGGAACGCTCTGCCCGAAAGGCATTGGCTTTCAGCCCAACTCCGCGGGAACGTCGGAAGTAGAAAGCGAAAAAGAACGGGCGAGGAGGGATATGAAAGGGGCGGATCAGCGTCGCGGCCGCCACCATCCTCATCATCCTGTTCACCGTCCTCGTCCTCCTCCTCCTCCTCCTCCTCCTCCTCCTCCGCCTCCTCCTCCTCCTCCTCCTCCACCTCCTCCTCCTCCTCCTACTCCTCCTCCTCCCCGTCCTCCTCCTTCCCCCCCGGCGGCGCTCGGGCAGCCGCGGCCGTCCCGCCTTCTCCGCGTTGTCGAACGGGGCGGTGGGCGCACGGTCGGGCAGGCACGGGGCGTGGAGGGGGGGAGGAGGGAGAAAGGAGGGGAAGTGGAAAGTCGGTGACGCGCCGACGGAGACAGGGGGAGGGGGACAGTTTCTTAGAAGGCAGGGTGCTTCTTAAAGCCCTCCTATAGCTTCTTAGAAGACTCCGAGGGCTTCTGAAGTCTGATACCCTCCCCCCTCCCCATGCCCCCCTCGGCGCGCCGCCGAGGAAGGAGAAAGGGAGGGAGGAGGGAGGGAGGAGGAAGAGGAATTGTTTCCCTGGCCTACGCATCGTGGCTCATTCTTGGGCGGCTGGCACTGCCGCAGTCCTCGCTGCGATCTCCAACTAGCTGGAGGGGAAAACATGGGACAGCACGCTCTCGTCGCCGGGGCCACCTCGGTTGTCCTCCGAGTAGTGGGCCACCAACTTGTCCGGCAAGAAGCGAAGGACGGACATCTGCAAGGCTAGGATCACGGCGCCTGTGAAAGCGTTGCCGCTCATGTCCATGAAGAGAACGTCGACCCGCTTAGATCCAATATATTGCACCGCCTTCTTGATAAACTCCACCAGCATGCTGCGCGGAAACCCTTGCAGCATCATGGCCTCAAATCCCGTGAGCAGCCGCGGCTCGGGCACGATAGGAGGGAACATCATGAAACGTCCAGATGGCGTGATCGTTGGCGTGGTGGCGTGGGTGCATGGGTTCATTCGCTCAGGCATCTGGCTGATGTCCAGGAAAGTCATGTCGTTGCGAGCTCTTGCCCAGTAGGCGATGCCGTGCTGCTCTCTCGTCGGAAGCCCATTGTACCACTTCGAACCCTGCATGGAATCTGGCCGCTCCAAGGTACTGTACGGGATAGACGAAGAGGCGCACATGCGCTGGATGTCAGCCCGCCACTTCCTCGTCTTCTCCTTCTCGGAGGCGTCCTCCTCGCTGTCGGCCTTACGCTTCGCGTCCTCGAGGCGGTGCAGCGTATCCATCACGATGGCGGAGTCGTTGGGCAACAAGAACTCGCTGAGATTCAGGTGGCCGGCAGTCTTGCTGATCTCCTCCAGGTCACCGTTCGGATCTGTCTGTCTGTCCAGGGTGCCGTTCGTCTTGAAGATGTCCACCCCCCTGATGATCGATCGGGCCATGGTAAACGCCGTCTGCTTGTCCGGCAGGTAGTCTGAGGAGTCGGCGGACCATTTCACGCAAACCCCGTAAGCCCGCACCCTTCGAAGAATGATCAATGCTCGGGTGCCCAAATGCATCCAGCAACAATCAAACGAGGGAACCCCCTCCACTGGCCTCAGAAGGAGATGGTGTAGAGGAGGAGAGGGAGGGGGCGAGCGGGAGGGAAATACAGGAGTGGGAGGGAGGACGATGTAGGATGCGGGGAGAGAGGAAAAGGGAAGTAGAGGAGGTGGAGGAGGGAGGTATAGAAGGGGGGAGGGGGCGAGAGGAACGAAGGGGACGATAGGAAGGACGGAGAGGAGGGGGGATGAGGGGGAGGAGGAGGAGGGGGAGGAGGAGGAGGAGGAGGAGGAGGAGGAGGAGGAGGAGGGAAGTAGAGGAGTGAGAGTAAGAATGCGGAGTGCGTAAGGGCACCCATCAGCATTGACATTCTGCGGGCGCCTGCGCTGCGGTATACCAAAATCGGTTGACACGAATTTGGCCTGCTCGCAGGCGTAGTTCAGCTTGTTCAAAGCCGAGAGTAGCCACTCGAGGTTGTCGGCATTAGTAGGGTCAAGGATCTCGGGCACATTCTCCCAGATATGAACGGGCGGCCCGTGCTTCCCCAAGTATCCGATCATGCCCTTGCACGTGGCACCCGAACTCCCCTTGGCCTCCTTCAGGATCTCGTTGAGCATGTTCTCCCTGCTCATCTGGGCAGTGCCGCTAAACATCTTGCTGAAGTTCTTGCAGGAGAAACCTACCGAGGTAAACAACGGGCCCTCCTTGTTGATAAAGGCCTCCTCGTCACGCGAATGGCACTCGGCCTTCACCTGGTTCATCTTCATGATATCTTTGAAGATGACGGGATCGTCGATGCCGAAGTAGTCGTGATAGTAAACCAACCACTGACGCTTCGTGAGGTCGCTCTCGCAGCAGAAGAGGTCCTTGACTTTGCCGCAGCCAAGATGCCCAGTCAGCACGTGGAGCTGCACAGCCGCCACGTTAGAGCCAGAGCACATACTCCCCACCTTGATCGTCTTCAACCTTTTGAGGACGTCACTCAGCTGCGTGTAGATGTCGATACCTCTTGCGGCCGCTGCATCCAGCATCATCTTGAGGACCTTCTCCGGCAGCTCGGGTGTCGCTCCAGCCCGCCGCTTCCGCGCGGGCGGCGGTGTGGGTGCCGCCGCAGGACGTTTCCTCGGTGGCATCGCAACTTCTCAGACGGCGGCTTGCAATGTAAGTCGGATGTCGAATGTTGTAGGCAGTTCTTGAGCCTACAAATTCCATGGACAAATGCCTCGGCCAGCCAACCATACCAGACAATGATAAAAAACACTGATCGATGATTGAAACTGTTTTTGAAATTGTCTTCATCCACAAAACCAGTGCTGTCGCTTCTCCAGGATAGCACTGCCGCTAACTATACAGAAACTCAGGCGGTCCTAGGGCCACGCTTGGCCCTCTTCTTGGGCGCCTGGCTTGGCTCAGGTTCTACAGTGACCTTCACTTTCCTCTGCTTGGCCTTGGCAGAAAGGGCCGCGGACCTGATCCCCTTCACCTTCTCCTCGAACGATGCCCAGATCTCAGGATCCAAAGTCGTTTTGAACTCCGTGCTGAAGTGGTCCTGGAACAAGGCTTGCATCTCGGCGTCCACGCTGCCAGGGTCGTTCTCGTCCTTGCCCAAGAGTGAAAATAGGGCCCACTTCACGGACATGGCGCTGAGGCGCACGGCGATGTCTTGGCTCTTGGAGACACTCTCAGGCAAGTTTTTCAGCCCCAGCGAAGTCAAAAGCTCCACGATATCATCGATATGCTTAGTAAGCTTGGCGTGCAACGGGGAAAGGGCCTTCAAGTCAGCCCTGCCGAAGCCCTTCAAAAATTGTTCACCCTTCTCGCCCTCGACCTGAAGAAACTTCTCCTAGAGAGCACTGGACAAGCCGATGTGGCTACCCGCCTGGGCGCCCGACCAACCCAAGCCGGGGCCCTCGGGGACAGCGGGTTACCCCACGGGCAATGTCCAGAGCCCCCGATGGTCCTCCAGCTTCGTGGCCTCCTCAAATAAGGCGCCCCCATTAGCATCAAGAAAAGCTTTCGCGACCTCCTCGAACTTTGTGCAGACGGAAGACACGAACTCTGTCAAGCCCTCGAGAGTTTCTTTTCCAAGCTCAGGGAACAAGAGATTCAGCGTCGAGGACTCAGAACGGACAGCGTCAAAGGATTCCATCGTTTGCTTGGCATTTGCTTCTACAAGATCGCTCAATGATTTCTTGGTGGGCGTCTTATCCAAAGGCGCCTTGTCCAGAATATTGATAAATCTGGTGCTCGACCCAATCTTGGATAAATGTTTGGATATCGCCGCTGTCTGAATGAACACCTTGCGCTCTTCCTCATCGTCGCAGCACGTGGCAAGCTGATTCAAATAGTGTGAGTTGGTTGAGATGTCGTTCGCAGTCTTGCTGATCTCGCTACCAGGACTAACCGTGCACTTCGTATTCACGATGTGATCTATCATCTCGACTGCGTTGGTGCTGAGACCCTTCTTGAGGTCGGTGAGCCGAGTTGCTGCTAACTCAGTAATGTTGCAGCGCTTCCTGCACTTGATGATGATATCATTCAGCGCAATGGCAGCGGCCTGCCCGTTGATCTTCCCAACGATGTTCGCGCACTTATTGAATCTCCGGGGCATCTCCGCTGCCCCATTCCATTGGCCCCTCACCCCCCCCCCTTCAGGGCGGCCGCCTCCCAAGAGAAACAAACCGAAACGTAAAACAGTAGAGCCCAAACCCAAGACAATTCGGCGGCACCCTCCCAGACATAACTTTCCCAAAGGTTGGTGCGGGATTTCCTGCGAAGGGCCAGTGGAAAGGATCAGCGAAAGAGGCCCCAGGATCCTGGTTGCTATGGAGGCCAAGTCGACCTGCTCCGCGCCCTCGGTGGACGCGGCCTCGTGCTTCACGACGTCCACCATGATGCTGCTCAGCGGGTCAAGTATCTGCGACATCTCGTTCACATCGTGTCGCACTCTCCTTGCCTGGTGCACGGGGTCCCGAATTCATCCAGGGGGCCCGCGGCCCTGGCCAAGTCCGAAGCTTAGTTAGGCTAAGCATTGCATTGATTCGAGTGAAGTAGGGCGGGGATGAGCTACAGCGAAGCTGAACCAAGCTAAGTCTACGATAGATTGAGCTACGCATCGCTGGGCTAGGCTCTTCTCAAGTGGACAAAGACAAGGAGAAGCGTCAAGGAAGCTAAGGGAGAGGAGAACGAGGAGCAGGAGGAGGAGGGGAGGGAGCAAGGGCATTGAGACACGAGCGTAGGGGGCTGGGGCCCTAATCAAGACGTGCCGTGGATCCCTGGTTGAATTCTGACCCCAGTCGCCTGGACGCAGCTCGCACCGATCTCCGCCATGCCCTCCAGCATGGCCCACACTGGAGCTGGGCACTCCTTGTGAAGCTCGCCGAGACCTGCTGCCTTGATGTCGACCATAAGCTCGTCGAGGACCGTCTTCGCCAGACCCTTCGCATGCGTGATGGACTCCTCGGATGCCTCCTCTCCGCGCGTGATCTGCCCGAAGCTTTCTACGGCTGTGACTGCCTGGGTCCTCGAGTTCTCGATGTGCTCCACGCACAGCTTCAACGCTCTGTTGAGGTTCTCTCCTTCTCGAGCATCCCTGGAGTCGTGCATCTCGATAGCGTACTCTTTGATGGTATTGGTCAGCTTCTTCATCTCACCGTCGTTCAGGGCATTTGTCTTGGTGGCTTGCTTCTTCAGGATGGCCATGATCATACCCATCCTGGAGTTCTGCGTGGTCCCAGCGAGCTTCTCATCGATCGACTGCTGTATGTGGGCGCGGATGACGTCGAAGGTGGACACGGACGCCAAAGTGCGGAAGAATCCCATGTAGTGGTCGTCCCCGATGAAGCTGTCGAACGCCTCCAGCGCGTCTTGTTGCGCCTGCCCAGCTGCTTCCTCCTCCCCGGGCGAGAAATCAAGCATGGCAATGATGTGCAAGATGTCGCGGCGCGCGGCGGCAGAAGCTTCTTGGCCCACGAAGTAGTCGTCCGATAACTTAAGCATACCCTCCAAAGCAGTCCTCGTCTCAACCATTACCTGCTCGTCCTTGGACGTCGATTTGCCAGTCACCCCGCCCAGCATCGTCACGAGCACCTTCTCCACCAGCGTGACGTGCATCTTCTGCTTAGTCGCCTGCGGGATGCACTTGAACTCATCTCCGGTGATCAACTCCATCAGTTGGCCCACCTTGTCAAATTGCAAGTAGTCCAGAGCCTGAAGGAGGAAAAGGAGGACGACGAGGAGAGGAAGGAGGGAGGAGGAGGTCACCTTAGCCATGTACAGTACCGACTCACACGCTGGCAGGCGGTGCGTCTCCTGCAGGTTGGCCCTCGAAGTATCCGCCATCTCCACGTCGATCGTCTCCACAGACAGGCCCTTGAATGAGAAGCTCTTGACGTAGCTCATCTCGTCACTGATGAGCTTCCGAGACTCGTCGAGCTTCTCCTCCACGCCCGCGGGCTTCGTAGTTCGCTTCACGATCTTCCAATACACCTTGGTCGACTCCTTCTGGATATCGGTAAGAGTGGAGCAAAAGGCTTTGCAGGACTCGGCGACGCCCTTCTCGTTCAAGTCGTAGAGCTTCAGAACTGCGTCTTCCTGGCGCACGTGAGCCACAGCAGAGTCGAACTTCGCCATGACTTCGGCCATGCCGTTGCGTTCCAGGTAGGAGTCCAGGTCCACTGCGATCTCGCCTGCATCCACGTCCTCTGTGTCCTTGCCCTTCTTTTCCTTCCTGGCTGACTGCGGCGGCTTGGAAGAGGCGTTCGATGCGGTCGAGCCTTTGCGCCGGCGGTCCGGGCCTTTGGATGACGCAGGCTGCGACTTCCCCCCCCTCGCCTTCTGCCTGGACCCTGCTGGCGCCGACGAGCCGGCCTTCGACTTCGCCTTCGCCTTTGAAGCAGCAGCCCCAGTTTTCTGTCTCTTGGCCGAAGCACACATGCGACCCAGAATGCCATCGCTGTCGGTGGTTCCATCGCTCTCCTCGACGGCGTCGCTCTCTGAGACCTCCGATTCTGGTGCGTCTCCCACTTCGTCGTCATCATCTCCCACGTTGCCCAGCAGGAGCAACTTCTCCATTGACGCCTTCGCTTGGCAAGCCTGCTGGGCTCTGGCGGCTTTCGCCGTGAACTTAGCGTCGATCTGGCTGGAGCGCAAGTTCTTGGTGCCGTCGTCAATTATCTCCTTCTCCACTACCTCAGCCGAATCTTCTACGATGACTTTCCACTCGCCCTCTGGATTCAAGGCGAACAAAACAACCTCTTGGACTTCACCTTTGTGGAGCTGAAAGATGGTATCTAAGCCGTCCTCCTGTGGTGTTCTGCCGTCATGGGTGTCTGCGTAGCGCTTGACCGTCATTGCCGTGTACTCAGACTGTGCTTTGGTGCCAGACTTCTTGTGTATCTCGAGGCAGCGCCTTCGAGAAGCTCTGAGCGCCTCCTTACGCTCTTCCTTTTTCCTCCCCCTGCACCTCATCTCTGCCTTGCCGTTGTTGATGAGCTTTATCAGCTCGGCGCGGGAAGTTCTGAACTCCATCTGAAGGGTTGGACTCTTGGGAAACTCCTGGACCATAGCTCTAATTGTCCTATGCTCATCCGCGAATCCTCCATCCTCGAAGACTGTGTAGCAGAGCTTGCACGTATTTCCCTCTGGACAAGACTCCGTTCCATACAACCATGGTATGAACTCTAACTGCGACCACGCGCCCTTGGTGACAGGGTTCTGATCGTTGCTCTTGCACTTGCAGGACTGAGGGCCCGTTACATACATATTACTTTAACAATGCGGAGGGAGATGGGGCTAATTCGGCAGGGGGGAGGGGAGGAGGGGGAAGGGAGAGGGGCACTTCGCGAGGGGGAGGATTCTAGGCCAAAAACAGGCGTCAATATTAAAAACAATTGACGCTCGATTTTGGGCTGTCCACGGCCCTATCTACACGCACACTAAGAAAGCCCGTCAACAAACATGTGCTAAGGGGGGACTTTGCAAGTATTCTGACACGGGGAAATATGGTAGGGCCGCGCGAAATTTCGGACACGGGTGGTACGGGGCACTTCGCGAAAACTCTTACCCAGGCGAGGTGGGGGGACTTTGCGGGCAGGGGGGGACTTTGGCGAAAATGCACACACACATGGGACAGGGGCCCAGCGGGTTGGTGGGGGCTTTGGCGAAAATTCTGACAGGGAGGGTAGGGGGGGACTTTGCGAAAATTCTGACACAGGGGGGGGAGGGGGGACTTTGCGAAAATTCTGACACAGGGGGGGTAAGGGGGTACTTTGCGAAAATTCTGACACAGGGGGGGGGAGGGGGGACTTTGCGAAAATTCTGGCACGGGAGGTGGGCAGGGGGGGACTTTGCGAAAATTCTGACACGGGGGGGTGGGTATGGGGGGACTTTGCGAAAATTCTGACACGGGGAGGGGGTAGGGGGGTACTTTGCGAAAATCCTGACACAGGGGGGGGAGGGGGGACTTTGCGAAAATCCTGACACTGGGGAGTAGGTGGTGACTTTATAAATCCCAGCAGGCGGTCCGAACACGTGAGCACTCGAACGCAAAACTTGCCGATGGGCCCGCTGGTGCCTGCGCCTGCCGCAGGCTCCGACGGGGCGATCCCTGTCACAGTCTCGTCGTCGGAGTCAGCCATGGCCCCATGCGGTAATACGATGCCTGAAGAGGGTCGCCGCTCGAGCCTGCACAGCAGAAACATCGACAGCCACTCTGAAAGGGGTCCGAAAACACCCCCCGAAATCCGAAATCCATTCACGCACTGATCCGAAACCGCTTTTCCGAAACGCTGTAAGACCCGGATTCCCTCTGTAAGACCCGGATTCGGGCTGTAAGACCCGGGATTCCTCTGTAAGACCCGGCTTTCGGATTTCGGGATATGACATCCTATGGATTTCGGGATTTCGGAGGTGTGGTTTCGGCGGGTTTCGGATCCATGGCGGAGCCTGTCGGCTGCCAAGACACCGTTGAGGCATGTCACATGTCACGTCCTCCTCATGACATTCTGAACGCCTTCGCAAACACGGCACCGCACGCACTGCGACACAGGCCAGAAGCACGGCACCGCGACCGCCCGCGCATTGAGCACCACGCGGCACCGCAATGCACGGCCCGTTGCGACCACACGCCCGCACGGCACCTGGCCACCACGCACGGCAGCCTAAGAGGCACCTCCGGGAGCACGAGGTAGAGCAGCAGCAAGCGAACAAGGAGGGTAAGGAGGAAAAGGAGGCGGAGGAGGATGAACAGCGGGAGGAGGAGGATGAGGAGGGTAAGAATGAGGATAACAACGAGGAGGGCAAAAGGAGAATGAGGAGGCGGATAAGGTTATACATACTTTTACATACTACATCCACGTCGAGACCAGAGGGGTGCGCCGAGCCTGAGCGCGCACGCCAAGTCGGCCCTCGCGAGCCACTCGCGTCCGGCGGGGGCTGGGAGCATTGGCGAGGGAGGCGGGAGGATGGGGAGGGGGTGCGAGGGTAGGAATGGTATCGATCGAGAGAGGGATGAATGTGAAAGATGTTTGACTAATCACCAAACGAAGGAGTCCCAACCGATCTGAGGTCAGCTTATCCGAGCTACTCTGAACACTGAGCAAAGCAATATGAGCTCTAGTCGAACAGACTAACATCGAATTCAAACTCAGACTCCTCGGAGTCCGAACCATCCGAACCAGGCTGGTCAACCAGAAACGGGGGGGGACGGGGGGACGAGTCCCTAGCCACGGTGCAGCTGCTGCCGCTGCCCTCAGTTCCCGAAACCACACAACCGTCAGACTGCCGCGCGGCTTGTACCTCTCCTTCGGGTTCAACCCATTCGGATCCCAATGCGCCTCTGATGAAGACGAGGGAAAGGTGAGGAGTATGTGGAGGCAGCGGAGGAGGAGAGGAGGAGAAGGGGGAAGAGGAGGAGGAGGAACGCCGACAGGCCCTCTTGAAGTTGTGAGCAATGTACTTATCAACGTTTGAGTTAAGTACCTTCCAGCACGTATTAGCCAGCACTCGTATCCCCAGAGCAGTGATATTTGCCTCCTCGAGGCGCCTCGAGGCGCCACCTTATCCTCTCATATTCCCCTTACCGCCATCCCCTTCCCCATCCCTTACCGCCATCCCCGCCCCTCTCCTGTATAAGATGTTAGCCTACGCGGCCTTGGCCTCTTAGCCCATAGGTCCTTGTTGGAGTTGAGCTTGCGCGAACCAAAAGGACCCCCCTCTGACAAGGGGCGCGTCTTGATCGGACATTGCAACCAATCCGGCCATATCTCTTCATATGGCAACTCCCAAGGGATCGCGATCGCCATGGTCCCGCCGGGGGGGGACGCAAGGGGACAAGGCCGTCCGGGAGCCAGCAATGATGCGGCTGATGCAAGGGTGATGAGGAAGAGGAGGAGGAGGAGGAGGAGGAGGAGGAGGAGGAGAGGAAGGACGAGGACGAGGACGAAGAAGAGGCGGTAGAGGGAGAGAGGAAGGAGAGAGAAAGAGGAAGAGGATGAGGATGACAAGGGGGAGTCAAGACACGGATTGTGTTTCTAGTGCACCATACTGCATGGTTTAGTGAAGTAACGCACTTACTGCGACGGCAATGCATCGAACATCCGCAGATGTGCGGCTCGACCGGCGGCGCCTCTCGGTAGATCATCAAATCCACGGCGCAGCCAACGGCGAAACGCAAGACCCGAAGGGAAACGTGCCATTCCCCGTAGGCGCTGGCACCCGTGGAGATTGCAGTACACGGACAGCGACTCTCTGGGGACACCAGCGTTCACGATAGAGATCCGACCCCATCTGTCTGCAGGATCCCGAGGGTTGAAATAATGTGTTTGCCTGTCCGAAACGTGCACGGCCCTAACAAGCGATGCCGCACAATACACCATGTTCCCAGACCCATCCCCCTCCCAGTGGTGTGAAAAAGGACCAGAGCCGATTTCCAGAACCCGATTGGAGGAGGCCCACCCCAGACCCATATGCCCATAGGCCATCATAGGCCCATGGCTCATAGAGAAACCAGACAACCCCGACAGGACTTCGATAACCCCTGATTCTCGCATTGGTTTGATTGGCGACATCGCTGGCCTCGGAAGTTCACCAAGGTCAGGTCCAGAATATGGGGCGGGTGGACCGGGCGGATCATCAGGTGGCTCGTCACTCGGATCCACTGAAGTGTCGATCCATACATCTTGCCACTCGTCCCCTGCTTCCAAGTACCCTTCTACATCTATATCATCGACCTCTCCTGCGAATCTATGCTCGTCTTCGCCCTCGTGATCGCCTTTTTTGAGTTTCCCCGATCGTTTAGCTATAGCTGCAGCCTGTTTTTTCTGAGCGGCGGCCATCATCTTTTTGACCAGCGCCAACTCGTCCTCGAGCTTAGTGCCCTGCACGAACTCCCGGAGCTGGCCTGCAGATGCGGGGGGCGATCGGCGAGGAGCGTGGGGACAGGGGGGCCCGGGCACACAGTGGGAGAGCGAAGAAGAGCAACGAGGAGGATGACGAGGCACGGAGAGGGGGCTGGGGCAGAGTGAACCACTTTCTTAGACACAAGGGGTCGGCGGATTTGGTGCAAGAACGGTGGAAGTAGGAGGAGGAGGAGGAGGAGGGCACGGGCAGAGGACGAGGAGGATGACGACGACGACGTCGAGGAAGAGGAGGGCGAGAAGGAGGAGATGGATGAGAGCGGGCCCTCCTCTCTCTTCCTCGCTGCATTATCTTAGTTCCTGTGCTACTATACTACTATATCCAAAGGTTGCTCTCTCTCTCTCTCTCTAATACTGCTCCCACGTGTTGCGTCTTCTTTCTAGGTATTCTTATCGTGCGCTCCTTCTCCTCCTCCCTCATCCTCCTCCTCCTCGCCCCCACCTCTCCAACCTCCCCTGCAGCCGCTCCTGGAAATCCTACACGCAACTACCCCCCCACCACAAGAGCAAGGCCGCCTGTCACATCCTCCATCTCGCCCACCTTGAGCTGCAGCAAGCTGACGAACTCATAAGCCACCCTGCACACAATCGCTGTAGGCCCCCCAAGCCCCGTCATCCAAGTTGAAACGTCTGCCGAATCATGAAAAGCTGAGTTGACAACCGCCTGCACGTCCAGAAGTGATCCTGGCTCCAGAGGGCTATGATCCAGAGGGCCGCTGCACTCCCAGAAGACTTGTTGGACATCTCCTGGGCCCTGCAGGCATAATGGCATCAAGAGAAATCGCCTTCGAACCGCATCATCAGAACTTTCTGCAACATCGGGATAGCGAATCTCAAACAAGGGAACGGCCTCAACGAAATGCAAGTACAACTTTGGGAGCTTCATGAGAGCCCAGAGAATGCGCTTGCAATCCTTAAACTTCTGGAGAGCATCAGGATGGAAATCTGTGCGGCAACGACCAACCCCGAATTCTTCGCAGCACTGCCGGCGGGTCGGCACTTCGTCGCCCCCTCTGTCTGGAACGACCCCACCAACTTGAGATCGCCATTGAGAGGATGACCTGCCGACGTTGTCGATCACGCTCTGGACGTTGGATTCGGACAGTGGGTAAA